CTTACATAAGAGATCCTTCAGAAACCAGAGAGAACTAAATAAGCAAGTAACTGTCTTCTTCCAAGGTTCCTTAGCTCTGTTACTGGTAACATTTTTCGGACTGAACTATTTGAACAAAGCATATTGCAAAGCTCTTTATTAATCCCCACTGCCTACAAAGTGAGACCAAATGATATTATGACACAAAACTCAACCCCCACAATCCTCTTCTACTTCTAGCCAACAGTCATTAATCCACAGAGAATTAAACAGAGGGGAACAATATTTATAGAAGTTCTCCTCCAAATCCAATGATTCCCATTGGTAACAGAACTGAAATGTTAGCACTTGGCAGCTGTACTGAAAAAAAATTTCAGGTTGGGAAGTTGAGATAAAATCATGACTAAACCCTTGCTAAATCCACCCTCATTTACCTACTCTCGTTAACTCCCCCAATAATTCCTCAAATAAAAAAAATGAGTCAAACCCAAATGTAAAGTATAGGACCTAAAAAAACAAATTAGCCAAGGTTTGGGGGCATGAGCCAGACCAGAGACACTTGCTCACTCATTGTCTCGTATTTTCGATGAGTAGCAGATGTGCCCTCGTCAACCAACTATGCAAGAGTTGATGGCAAGGACAAAATGTTTTGGAAAGCTGCTTAGAGCAGCAAATCTCGGAGCAACAGTAGTATCAGCGCTAAACCACAGTGTCTCAGAACCAACCACATCAACCACACCCTCATCTGTCCTGCCTTTTACAGTTTCTTGAGTAAGTTAACAAAAATTAAAGTCTTGTGTTTAGCAAATTATAAATCATTCTCTTCTAGAATGAAGTTCAACTTTCATAAGTTAGAAATCCTAGCCTATATCCCCTTCTTGGGATATTTCTTGATAAAAAGGTAGGATGGTTTTTATAAAATACATTTGAAAAATGCTACATTGTAAACAAATTCCTTTAATCAAAACTCCCCAGACCTTTTCTTTTTCCCATCAGGGACTGAACCCTGGTCTCTGCACATGCTGAGTATGCATTTTACACTGAGCTACCCCCATCCCCTACAGACCTTTTAATATGCACAATATAAACCTGCACAGGGATAGGAAAATGAAGTATACAGCTTATCTGCTTACACAAAGCTTATCTGCTCACGGAATTCTTTTCACAGAACAGCTCATACAAGGGTTTCACAGGATACACGGGGACACACTGGTTTAGGTACATGTTGGTTTTTGTAGACCAGTTTGGTACTCACTCGACTTTGTTACTGATTCATGTTCTGAAATAATCTTGTTCTGAAAGTTTGAAACAGTCTGCTTAGAAACAAACTTGTGGAATATAACCAAATCATGCATTCAGACATCTCTAGCCACTGAGCATTTGTGCATCTGATTTTCCTAAATGCAAATACTTTACAAAATAAAAATTTCAGATAAAAAACCACTTGAGAAATATTCCTCCTAAAGCATACAGTATTTTTTTTTTTTTTTTTTTTGTACCAGGGATTGAACTCAGGCCCTTGTGCTTGTGAGGAAGGTGCCAGAACCACTGAACTAAACCCCCGGCCCTCAAGTAAGTTTTATTTGTAAGGTACAATTTCTAAAATGAATTTTCTACATCTAAAAATTTATGGAGGAAGTCTTTGGAGGTTAGTTCAATCTGGATTTGAATCCTGCCACAAAGCAGAGACACTGAACCTGAACACCTTGGCCAGGAGCACTTTCCTCACCTATAAAGCACAGAGCAGGTAAGAACGCCTGCTCTGTGTGGTGGTTTCAAGGATTAGACATAAGGGACCTGGACAGGAGCAAATAGGGTTTGTTTTTTTTTTAAATCATTTTTACTTTAACTAAGGAGACTACTCAGCTACAGCATAGTCCAAGATCCACCCTAATGTCAACACTTGGCCACTGGAATATGATCTTGAGATAGAGGACTCACAACAAAATAAAACCCACACATAGGGAAGTGTCATTCTTATTTCATTGTAATATGTGCAGTATATACTAATTTAAATGGGAAAATACAACAGGATGAAAGTTTAGGGGAAAATGATATTTAGTTTTAATCTTCAATGTATAAGTTATTCTTACTTTAATAATCCAAACTGCCATGTTTCAGATTTTAAAGAGCCATCCCTGCTGAATTTTAGACTAACAAATGAACAGACAAAGCAACACTGGAATTAAGCACAGGAAATAATGAATAGATAACTGAAAGTAAAACCTACCTTGGCTAGAATCAAACATTCATAGATAACTTTCTCCAAAGGAAATACCTACCTTGAATAAGTAGCAGCAGCAGCAGCTTGTGTGTGTGTGTGTGTGTTATGAGGGCCAAACCCAAGACCTGATACATGCTAGGCAGTTATCCCATCCTTTGGCTACAGTCCTAGTCCATAAAGGTTTACTTTAATTTTTTTGGTACTGGGATGAAGCTCAGGACCATGTGCTTGCGAGGCAGGCATGGTGCCACTGAGCTACATCCTGGCCCTAAGGTTTATTTTTTTGACTAGCCCAATACTCATGACTTGCTGAGACATTTTTATTTAGTTGCATCTAACTACCCAAAATCCTACCATGTATGCTATTTGGCATGTCTTACCTGTGAGATAATCACCTATTTTCTCGAATCAGAAGAGTTTGCTCCTCATTATGGTTTGGGTCTAAATGCCCCTGCAAAACCTCATGTGGTCATAAGCTTGATCTACAGTGTGTGAAGCTGGAACTGATTCGTGATGCGATGCTACGCTCAAGGGCAGTAGGATTAAGGGCGTCAGTGCTACCTGCCCTAAGTAGCCTGAATAAAATATAAGTGACAGGGAGACACTGTAAACCCTCGTTCCCTTTGCTGTCTTGTGTGCGCCATGCTGTTTCTGCTCTGCCAGGGCTGCCTGCTGTCCCTGCCTTGGAGTTGGCGGATTATGGACTGAACCCTCTACAAACTGTGAGCCAAATAAACCCCTGCCCCTTAACTTTGGGTGTCAGGTATTTTGTCTCAGCAAAAAGTAACTAACACACTTCTGATTTAAGGTTCAAGAAATAAAAAACAATTTTTAAAAAGTTTTAAGAACTAGTTCATAGAAAGCACCAAAAGAATAAGTTGTTTAAAAGTCTTTTTCTACACTGTACAGCAACTGCTGCTACAAATAAAGAGTATGTGGAAGTTGGACACGGTAGCATATACCTTGGGAAGCTTAGGCAACAAGATTACAAGAGTTTGAGGCCAGCCTGGGAAACTCAGTTGAGATACCACCTCAGAATTAAAAGAAAGAAAAAAATAAAAGGTATGGGGACATAGCTCAGTGCTTGCCTAGCATGCATGAGGCCTTAGGTTCAATTCCCAATTCCCAAACAAAATGTGGATCCTTTTTAAGAAAAAAACAAAAGCAGAGGCTTTGTGAACACACATTTATAGTTTTAAGTTCCACAAACCCCAGAATTAGGCCAGGGTTTTAGCTCAGTGGTTCTGATGCCTACCTTGCAAATTCAAGGTCCCAAGTTCGATCCTCAGTACCAAAACAAACAGAAGGCAGAATTAAATTAAGCTTTGTTTATAAGTCAGTGTATCTCTACGTAGCTAAAATGTTCAGTTGTAATACTGTACCTACAGTTCAGAGATACTTTGATTAGAACCCGTTTTTTAAAAAAATTCAAAATAATACATTCTAACAGCAAAGAATTCTCCCACTTTTTATTTCAATATATTGATATGTCCATAAACTTGCAAGTGGAAGATCAGCTCTTCAATAAAAGCCTTTTCATATCTATATATATATATATGTTATACAGAAATTTTAAAAGTCTGTTCACATAATGGATTCTTGGTACTAATAAAAAATTGATACAAATAACTGACTAGAAATGAAATCACTAAACAAAGATGAACAGGACACTTCATTTCAGGGAAAAAAAAAAACAAATAACCCTGTGTTACAAGAATAAAGGACATTTGCCATAAGGTACATTATCATATTTCCTTAAACAGGGACTATTAAAAATTTTTAAATTAAATGTTCAGGCTTAATTCTGTCTGTACATTCAGAACAATCATATCACCGGTTACATACAATTCTCTCATCATGCAAAAAGTCCTTAGCTGTTTTCTAAGGTCTAATGAAATCAAATGAGCTAATAATAGTAATTTAATTATCAAGCTGTAAACCAGAGTACAGAAATTGAGCAGTTGAATTATATATTCTGCTTACAGTACTGCTGCTACCCAACTACTTTCTTCATATAATAGAACTATTAGGCATTGATAGGCAAAGAGAATTTCATTATTGCAGCAAATGACAAGAGTATTTAGAGAAAGGAGAGTTCCTAACATTTGACAATCTTTGTGATCCTTGTATGTGTAGACAGGAGTGGAAATAAAGACAGGTATATAAGGGGAAGATGAGACAGCTATATTAGAATTGTATTTATTGATAAAACTGATTTGAAGTCTGCCCAGTGTACCAAAACAAGCAGAGCAGACATTAGTGCAAGTTTAACCTGACAATTTATTTAAGTTTTGGTGAGAAAAATTTCAGTCCTTTCCTTGTAAGCACAAAGAAATTCAACAGGAATTTTGAAGGTAGTAACCAGAAAATATAACAGTAACTCCTGGAATCCTTCTCAGTCAAACAGACAAACCACACTGAAAGCAACTGTTAAAAATACTTTTCCGCCTGAGTATTTATCAACTTGTATGTCCTGTTGTTCCAATTGGCTTTTGGTAAAAAATGAAAAGCCCAACCAAGTTTTTGTAAGAGGTACTACATCTACAATGATGAAAATAAATTAGTTTCCCTCCCGCTAAAAGACATTAACTTTTAACGCATAAAAAGCTATATAATATCTCATACAAATTAACCAGTGTTCTTACAAAAGTAAAGCAGTTTTGGACTAATGACATTATACTATATTTGTGGTGAAGTATGAGGCATAAGAGTGTATGCATTCATTAGGCATTTTCAGTCTAATCAGTCTCTAAGGTTATCATTTAATTCTTGGCAATATATAATAAACTGGTATGTATTTTGGTACTTAAGTCACAAATTGTGGAGAACAAGAAGCAGTGTATCATAGTAACAGGATTTGTATTTGACAACTGCAGTGCAGAACAAAGTTCTTCTATGAACTTTGGGATTTGTTTTGCCGTTGATCACCTGTAGTAGGTCCTGAAAAGATAAAGAGAAAAAAGTCAACATAATTAGCTGTACACTGTCAAGCTTAGAACTAACTACATTATCAGCATGGACGACAGACAAAGTTTCTTTAAAAAAGTCTGTGTTATGTAGGATGAATTAGATTAATATGAAACAATATATCCCTACATATTCTAAGAAGCAAAGCAAGTATTTGTTGAGAGGACAAAATATGCCTCTGATTGAACGTTTAAGAAAATCAGGGCCGGGGATTTAGCTCAGTGGTTCTGTTGCCTGCCTCACAAGTGCAAGGTCCTGAGTTTGATCCACGATATAAAAAAAGAAAGCAGGCAAGAAAGAAAATCACAAGTAGCAAGTTATGAAAGGGTTTACACTTTTTAATCTGGAACCTATAAAATATCACACATCAGAATCTAAACATGTTACTCTTCACGAAAACAAGAAAGTAGGTGGTAATGGGGAGAGAACAAAAGAGAAGAGGAAGGAGACTGCTGATACTCAAAAGTAATGGATTCTATAGAACCAGGACATTTTAAAGGTTGGTAAATAACTTTTTAAGGGCTCACAAAAAATAGGGGCTAGGGTTGGGGATGCAGCTCAGCAGCACAGCACCTGCCTGGCAAGCACAGGTCCTGAGTTCAATCCCCAGTACTCCACCCCTGAAAAAAGGTAGAGGCTAACTCACTTCTTTAAGCCTTATTATAAAGTAATTTCTACCCTTGCAGACTTTTTAACAGGACATACATAAAGAACATAACCTTACACACACACACACAAAGAGTACTTTTCACAGAGTACTTTTATTTCCACTGGAAAAAAAAATCAGGCATTGAGCTAACAAATTTTAGTAACCGTTATACTTACACACAAAAATGTATTTATTAAATGTGTGAAATTTAACGTCTCATAGGCAGAGATGGACAAAAACAAGTTTTCTTTCCTTCCTTTTTTGCTTGCAGTGTGAGGGACTGAACCCAGGGATGGTGAGGGCGTTTTAAAATTTTATCTTGAGACAGAATCACAATTTGCCAAGGCTGGCCTCAAACTTACAATTCTTGTGCCTCTGCCCTGAGTATCTGCTATGGCCAGAGTTATTTTTCAAAAGTAGTGACTTCAAACCAAACCAAACCAAAACAATATGAAAAATAAATCCCTTTATTCTTTGATGTAGTACTGGGTACAAATTTCAAGCAGAAAATGAAGGGTATTCCTAGTGCCTTACCACAGTCACTAGGAGATGATTTGAAAGTCTGAGTAGAAGCTGATGAAAAGTTATGAACAAAAAAATATTCACCTGAATATCAAAATAAATCATCAAGGGTTGGGGTTTAGTTTGGTGTTTGCCTAACATGTATGAGGCCCAGGGTTCAATGTCTGAGTGAAAAAGCAAAGTCAAATAACTTGTCAGTCAAGTCCAAAGAATCACAGTGGAAAGATATGACATGCTTTTAGAACCTAATGAGATTTTAAAACAAATCCTCCATATTAAAAACATATTTTAGATTATGATGACAAAATATGATCTGAAAGCCAAAACAAAACACAGCTTAATATGAAGACAAATATACTTACCTAAATCTAAGTAAACCATAAGAAAAAATTAGCTACATAACATAACATATGGTCTTAAGTGAACTACAGGCATAATAAACTTTATTTTAATTGGCAGAGATTGAAATTTTATAAACAAAACATTGGCGTAATAATAAAGTGAACCAGCAAAATTATATGACGTTTCTCAAAAGTTTAAAGCAAAATAAATTATCATAGACCCAGACAACTGTAAGTCTCAGTGCTGTTTGAAAAGCACCTAACCTTGCTTTGATTCAATATTCATGTTTTCTCCATCTACAGTCTCTGACATTTCTTCATCTTCTTCATCATCATTTAGATCTTTTGAAATTAACTGTCTAGCTAACTTAATATTCAGTCCTTCATTGTAGTGAAGCTTCCTTTTCATTTCAAATTGTCGCTTTTTTTCTGTAAGATACAAAAGAAGGTAAACTTAGTAAATCTTGTACCAAGGACTGGCTGTGCCTGTTCTAGTGAAGTTTATCTGAAGAGAGCCATGCTCAGCTGTAATGTTTAAGGCTGCTGTTGTGCTCAATGGCAAAGCTGAGTAGGGTGCAACAGACTAGACAGCCAGCAAAATCTAAAATATTTACCACCTATGCACTTTACAGAAAATGTGCCAATGGAAGGGTTAATAGTTTGCACCAGAGACCATATAGCCCTCAAAATCTAAAATACTTACTATGTACATTTTACAGAAAGTTTGCTACCTCTGTCATATAGTTCAAGTACATCTCAAAGGAAGAGCAGGAATGAGACAAAGCATTACAAGTCATATTTGTGAAGAATGTTAAAGATATAGAAAATTTCTCCAGCAAGAGTTGAGTAGGGGAAAAAAAGCAAGCAATAATATTACACGTAAAATGAATCAAACAAGATTCAATTAGTGGGCATAAAGAACAAGAAACTAAGAGACTTTTATAGCTAAGTGGATGCACACTGAGGCCATACTCTTACGTGAAATAAACAGGACACACACATGTAAATACTAAATAGCTTTTCTGGTGTGAAAAATTAAAAGGGTTAACAAGGATCAAATTTGTATAACTGATATTGTGAAACAAGAAGAAAACGTCTAAAGGAGTAGGGGAAGTGGGAAGGGTACGGGAAAGGAATTGTAGCTCATTGTAGCTCAGGCTGGCATTGAACTCCCCAGTGATCCTCCTTCCTCAGCCTCCCAAGTGCTGGGATTATGGGCATGAGCTACAATGCCTGGCTCTAACGGCATTTTAAAGTGTTTCTGAAGAAATAATTCTAAAACTTCTCAGACCAGTAAATTGTCTCTGTGTGTGTGTGTGTGTGTGTGTGTGTGTGTGTGTGCGTGTGCGCATGCGCATGCACTGGGGGTCAAAACCAGGGCTTGGCACATATTAGGCCAATGCTCTCCACTAAGCTACACCCACAATTCAACTGTCATTCTTTTTTACCTTCATTGATATGAAATGAAAGAAAGGTACCATGAGGCTTGTTTTAATTTGCAGGTGCTTATCCATAGGAGTTAATATTACAGTATTTGTATTTTGTGAATTATATTTACATAGTCTAAAAAAGTTATTTCTGTTAAATGTAGTGGCACATGTCTGTAATCCCAGCACTATGGAAGGGTGAAGCAGGAGGATCACATATTCAAGTCCAGCTTGGGCAACTCAAACTCTGCCTCAAAATGTAAAACAAACTAACAAACAACCCAGGACCGGGCATATAGTTCAGTGCAAAGGCCCTGGGTTTAATTCCAAGTGCTGCCTCCACCAATTATATACCTACATATTCCCAAGTCTAAAAAGATATTGATTGTGCTTATAATAAATATATCCTAATTTTGAAATACTCAAAATTTACTGTATCATTTAAGTGTGTAAAGTATTCATTTCATAGAAAGCTGCTAATATAATCTTTCCTGAGATTCTTGTATGGCAGACCACCATAATGCAAGAATAAAAGGATGTGTATGGGCTGGGGATTTAGCTCAATGGTTCCGCCGTCTGCCTTGAACGCACAAGGACCTGAGTTCGATCCCCACTACCAAAACAAAACAACAAAAAAAATAAAAGGACATGAAGGTTTTAGGCCTACTTCAAAAATAGTCAACAATCCATATTAACGAAACAAGTTATAGCCATTTTTACTTTTTCTGGGGAATAGCTTAGCCAAGTAACATACCTAGAGTTCAAACTTTAAGAGTCTGTTGGACTCCAGAGGCAATCATAATTGCTATGCTACAAATTATATGAGTTTTGTTGTATGATTTAATTTTTAAAAAATTTTTATTAGTAGGTATTTGCACAATGCAATTATTTTTTCTAAGAAACTTTACTGTCAGGAAATAATCTTTTTCTTTTTCTTTCTTTCTTTTTTTTGGTACCGGGGATCGAACCCAGGTCCTTGAGCTTGCAAGGCAGGCCGCGGAACCACTGAGCTAAATCCCCGGCCCAGGAAACAATCTTTTTCCAGGCACATAATTAAAATGGAAAACACCTAAAAATGTATTAACTACTGGAGGGAACTGAATTAATGAAGTTCTAATTAATCAAAATGGCTCCCCCTGCAGGCTGACTTGTGGAACTACAGCTTGAAAAATAATGAAAAGTGACAATATACAATACTTTAATAATAAATTCTCTACTTCCAATAGATCATGCTTTTAGAGTATAACGAGGAAACAAACACTAGAACCAATTTCTATTTTAAACTATTTTAAACTATTTCTAAATTCTTAAAACCAGAGGGAAATTACCATACAATAAGCACTCCAACAGAATTTGTATTACAAAAATACTTTCTGCTTTCGTACCCTTCACTTACCCAATATGGAAACCATTTCCAGCCTTCCAAATAATGAATTTATTTTAGCAAAAATTATTAGCATCATACTGAAAGCTGAAAGCAGAGAGGCAATGAGCTACCTTGCTCCTCTGGTGAGAGATCATTATCCTCTTCTCCACTGCTTTCTTGCTCCCGAATCCGATACTTTGGCTCCGAGCCTTCAGCAGCAGCTAATCTGTACAACAATAATTTACGGAGAAATCAACACTGTGATTTGGTATTGTTTAAGAGTCTTACTCAAATTCTGAGTATCATGATATATCTAAAGAGCATTAAGGAAAAAAGTGAAAGGAAGACGGGTGTCAAAACCAATATGCAATAACAGTAGTGCCAAGGGTGTTAGATATCAGTAACAGCGAAGTTAATTTATTTTATAAATTAAATTTTGCTTTTCACACTTCTATCGATATTTAAAATACAGGTGGCAGGATACTAAATAAAACAAAAATATGGAACAAGACACATCTCAGTATCCTTGGATCATGGATTCTAATCTTCCTGCCACCTGCATATATTGATTTAATCAAGAAAAATAGTTGTTATGAAAAACCTAGATAGAAGCTGGGGATGTTGTTTAGTGGTAAAGCATAGGCTTAGCAGCATTTGGAGGCTTTGGGTTTAATCTTCAGCATCCACATAAGGAAACAAAAAGTAGATAAAACAGCCTTTTATTTATACTTTTATAAATAAAAAGTAAAGCAGTATAAAATGTCTAACTTTGCACAAATGAAAATGTTTTAGTACTTACTTCTTAGCTAAGACATCTGGAGTTAGGGCTTCAGTGGGCTCTGAATCACTACCTGCATCTTCATCATCACCTATCATACTAGGATGATAAGCACATTGCAATTAATACATGAAATTCAATTTTCCACTAGAAAAACTCAATAGAAAAACATTAATTCTATTACCTAATTAAAATATTACTACATGAATAGCTCTATCTTCACCTTTGAAGTTACTTTAGATAGTTTCTATTCAATGCAAACATTTAAAAGCACAGTTCAGTGGCAGAATGCTTGCCTAGCATGCACAAGGCCCTGGTTCAATCCTCAGCACTGAAAAAAATAAAACATAAAATAAAACTACAGAATCAATTAAGACTCCAAACGATTACTAAAAATGTAGCCATAAAAACAGATACTGAAAACTCCAATCATCTGAAAAACATACTATGAAGTTGCAATTATTTCATTCAGTGAGGGAAAACAAATAATGCTAAATAAACTGTCATTTGGTTTTAGAATATATATGTGTACTTCACTGATAAGATAAATACAGATGATCTATTCAGACATATAATTAGGTAAAACAACAAAATTAGATCCTAAAGACCTAATTCAGGAAGTTTAAAAGCTGTCTGGTTTTCCTACTCTACCATCTATTGAAAATTCTGCTCATATATAATTGCAAAAACAGGCACCCTTAATTCTCAAGATAAATATAAAAAACAAAACCCAGGGCTGGAGAGTTAACTCAGGGTACCGGTGCCTGCCTGGCAAGTGAAAGGTCCCAAGTTCAATCCCTGGTGCCAGAAAAAAAAAATGTCTGACTTAAAATCACCACAAATGACAATGTATATATAAGCCCCTAAATTACAAGAAATGGTAGTAATGACCACCATTCCATCCGTGTAGTTAGCCTTTTCCTCAAAGAAAGTCCCTGATTTCTACCTGGGAAGCAAACAAATTCCCATTTCACCTTCCCTTCAAGGACAGCAAAGCTCACTAACCTGTGGGCACTTTTAGCAGCGAGCAACCTGTGCGACAAATACATGTTTATGACCATGATTATAATGCACAAAGTAGTTCCTGTGATTTTAAAATTATATATTACTTATTAATAAAAAGCTATGCAATTGTAGCCAGGAGTGGTGGCACACACCTGTAATCTCAGCACCTGAAAGGTAGAGGCAGCATGACTGAGTATGTGGCTGGCCTGGGCAACATACTTGAGACTCTGTCTCCAAGTGGGGAAGGAGAAGCAATCAGGTTATTACCTAGTGCTGCAGTAACAAAAAATATAAAATCAAACCCCGCCCACATTCAAATCAGCTGTCATCCAGAAGCTCCCTGTTAATGCAAAATGGAAACACTTGGCAAAAGGAATAAAGTCTGTGTAACGTTACCTATGGAAAGGAGTGCTTGGTTCATCTATTTTCATTAAACCATAGTCTTTGTCGGCTGGATGATAGGTTGCCAGGATGTTCATTTCATCCCACTTCTGGGACTTTTTACTAAAGTTAAAAAGAAAAGAACTTTTAGTGTCTACCTGTTTAAGATAAAGTCTTCAGAATCTGCATCATGGTATAGTTTTCACGTCTCACCTACAGAAATTTAATAATTAAAATCAAAATCTATATCGTTGCTCAAACTCAGTAGGTAAGCATTTTTGATTTACCATTACCAGTAACTGATTAAAAACAAAACCAGGGGCCGGGGATTTAGCTCAGTGGTGCCACCGTCTGCCTCGCAAGCGCAAGGTCTCGAGTATGATCCCTGGTACCAAAAAACAAAAAAACACACAAAAAAACAGAGTATTTTCTTCAGGGATATTTGTAAGAATTAAAACATAAAGGGTGGAACCTTAAAAATAAGCATGAGAAACCTTACTAAATTAAGATACTATTAAAATTGTAATAAAATAACATATAAAATTGAGTTATTGTTAAAAATGTTACATTCAGATTTACTTAAGGATATAGAAATGCCTAGGAATACTTGTTAGTAACCATTCAATAAAGTATGCAATTACTAAGGTGCTCAATAAATTAAATACTTTACTTGTAACTTTTATCTGTTCATTAAGAAAGTCCTCAGAGACCTCTGGAGCAGCCAACAGTATTGTGTTGCATATACACTTACAGAGTTTATGACTTTATATACTTAAAAAAAAAAACTTGACATATAAAATTGAAACACTGTTTCAAATCACCCTTTCAGCATTTGGTCTGAAATGGTGAGGTTTTACCATGCATACATTTAATTTCCCAAGTCCTGAAATGCCCTTGAAGAATGACATACTTAAATTTAATCACTTTTTTTCACTATGGTTTCAGAAGAGTTTGGTGAGTCACCTTAAAAATTGTGCACTTATTCCCAGCAGGTGAGTCTAACTTTATATTTTCTTGCCTTCTGCCCTCAAGGACTCACAGTATCACCGTTTCAGACTAAAAAAATATGTAATTTTTTACTGTGGTAAAATGTACAACATTAAATTCGCTGACTCACAGTATCACCGTTTCAGACTAAAAAAATATGTAATTTTTTACTGTGGTAAAATGTACATTAAATTCGTCATTTCAACACTCGAAGCTGCAACCTTGAGGTATGAAGTATATCACACTGTCATGAGTGATCACCCACCATCAGTGTCTGGAACCTTCTCATCTTCCCAAGCTGCATCCCTATACTTCCCAGCTCCCCCAGCCCCAACCAGCATTCTACTTTCTGCCTCTAGAAATCTAGTCTAGGTACTTCACACAAGTGAAATCATGCAACATTTGTCCTTTTATAGGTGGCTTATTTCACTTGGCATAATCTCTTAAAGCTTTTGTTCGTGTTGTAGCATATGTCAAAATTCCCTTCATTTTTTGTTTTGTTTTTTCAGACAGGGTCTCTATATAGTTCAGACTAGCACTGAATTCACTATGTAGTTCAGGCTGGCCTCAAACTTGTGGTGATCCTTCTGCCTCAGCCTCCTGAATAGTGGAACTATAGGGTATAGGTGTGTGCCAACATTCCCGGCTGTTTTTTGTATTCTTGATGGTAGCCATTCTTTTTTTTGTACCAGGTACTGAATTCACAACCTTGTGCTTGCCAGGCAGGTACTGCACCACTGAGCTACACCACGGCCCTGGATGGTAGCCATTCTGACTGACCTGAGATGGAATCTCAATGTAGTTTTGATTTACATTTCCTATAGGTCTTTTCTTTTAAGCACAGAAATAGCATTTCAAATGCTTTCCTATTCATTCAGCATGAACTTGGATTCACCTGAATTTTTAATGAATCAAATTAAAATGTGACTAATAGCCCCCAAAAAGTCACTTGATTGAACCAGACTGGATAAACAGAATTTGCTTTAATAATACTAATTTCTTCAGATGCCTAGGCCTCTATCAGTAATGGTTGATCTTAGCAGAAAACAAAAAACAATGAATTAAGAGAGAGGCTTTAAATTTCAGTTATCCTTCCCTCCTCCTGGGACTACAGACAAGACCAGTAAACATCTTATCTTGAACTATATTCCACATGGACATTATAATAAAAAGAGGTGTAATAACTCCTTATGATTTAGATTAGAGAGACAGAAATAAGTCTATGAAATCAAATTAGAAAAAGTACCATATCAAGTTTTTGTGATTTTGAAGGGTAAAGTCTTGGGCTAAAAACAAAGAAGACCTCACTTAGCACAGTAGGGAAAGGCTTCAGACATGGCACAATGGAAGGAGTTTGAGCTGCTTCTCTACTGAATTCCTTCCAGCTTTGCCCTGCAAGACACTCAGTGAAAAAGAAATACACTTGTAAAGATTAGGAAAAGTCGTTGCCAGCTGGCACTGGTCCTTGCTTTAGTGATAATGGAAATTAAAACTGAGTCACTCAGCACACATTTACAGGATAAAGACTGAATTAAAAAGGAAGAGAAAATAAAGGGGAACACAACTCTGTAAGATCAAGCCAGTCCCCTAACAAAATTAAAGTAAGACAGAGAGGGTTTCAGTTGGAGAAAGTGAAGGGAGCACAAGTCTGAAGAGGGGGCAATAGTGCTACAGGGTGCTTGGCAGAGGGTGGTGGTTAGATGTCTGTCCAGATTCAGAGGAAACCTATGGCTTGGGAGCTGGGTTCCCAGGAGCAGACTATGTCTGCTGGGGCGGTCTTGGTCCTGTGAGGCTCTGCTGGGATCCAAGGGACTGCAGGTTAGGTCAGGAAGGTTTCTGGATGGAGCTGAACCCTGAAAATTAATTATTCATATATGGTGGTGTCCCCAGTCTTGAAGGGATGAGGTAGGGCTGATATGCCTTCTTTCACCCACTTTTAGACAGATATTTCTCTTACATAACTAATGTGCCTGTATGCAAAGTTGAGAAGGAATAGCAAGTTTTACAATATGAAGGTCAAGCTTTGCTTTTAGTTACCTATTGGGCATCTGTAGGCCCAAGTGAAGAGTCACTGTTTTATTTTGTTTTCTTTGAGGTACTAGAGGATGAATCCAGGACCTTGGTACTGAGCTACATCTGCAGCCCTTATTTTCAGACAGGGTATCCCTAAGTTATCCAGATTGGGCTGGAACTTGTGATCCTCCTGCCTCAGCCTCCTGTTTGCTGAAATTACAGGCATGCGCCACCACACTGGCTAAGAGCTTGCTTTAAGTCCCTTTCTACCTCAGAAGAAAACACAAATCATGTTTTCAATAGAGGTTAGGGGCTATGGAGTTTATCTGTCCTCTGTCCCTTTGGTGGTCTCTGTATCAAAATGATAACACAGGGCTTCCCAATTGGTAGACAGTGAAAAAAATACAGTACAAGTTTTAAGAGTTCATTTCGTGAAGGAAAAATCAATTAAAAAACAAAAAGAGAGCTCCATGACACTGTAACTAAATGTTCCCTACTGATAAAGATTTCCTACTAATGACACTGTAAAAGACTAGCATATTTCCACTTGCATAAAGTTCAAAGGTAGGCAAAACTAGAATGAAGAGATAGGTACTTAAGTAATTACCACACAAGTCAGTAAGGTGATCTTTATTCTGGGGAAAGTGCAGATGGTAACTGAAAGGGAAGGGGACATTTCTGAGGTTATAAACATTACCTTTTTTGACCTGGACAGATATGTGGGTGTTTGTTTTACAACAAATTCCTAAGCTTTAAATTTATATCTAACATACATGAATGATCTTTTTGTGTGCTTCCTTATCTAAAACAAGTTATTCCTAAATGATGTTAACAATTTTGAATTAAAAGTGATTGCCATCATTGTTTAGGCTAGAAAAAGAATGAATACAGTCCTTTGGAGTTTAAAGTGTATCTCTACTGTGAGAGAAAAGGCGTCAACTCTGTAATTTGGTTTTGCAAGATTATAACCGAAAAAAAAATATAGAACACAAGCAGAAAGTATGCTTTATTTCCTTTTTCCTCTGTCTTTCCTCCATCCCTCCCTCTCTTTCCTTTGTGGGTCTCACTATTATGCCCAGACCTGGTCTACCCCCCTGCCTCAGCCTTAGGCGGTACCATCTCTGGCTAGAAATATTTTCTAAAAGCTAAGAATAAAATTTAAAGTTACACATGCGACACAAGCCTGTGATTTCAGCTTTTTGGCAGACTGAACAGAACTGCAAGTTCAAGCTCTACCTGGGGAACTTACTGAGACCCTGCCTCAGTAATAAAAAAATTTAAAAAGGTAGGGGATGTAGTTCAGTGTGGAAACAGTATTCAATCCCCAGTACCACAAAAACAAAAACCCACAATCTTATCACTTTAACACCTTAAGCCAAATACTGTATATTCTACTGTAAAATACACAAGCAATCAATATAAAAACTACATATAGTATTTATACGTTTATATATACTAATACAAAAATTATATGTATTATATCATAATCTGCTTGTGTTTTCTAGTTTTTGCCTTCTTAATGGCTGATAATATTCAGTAATACACTACTTACCTAATATTAGGTATTCAGACTGCCTTCAAGATTTCCCTACTTAAAATAAGGCAGAAATATTTGCACATATCTAGTCAATGAGGATTTTAGGGTAACTTGCTAGGACAAGTGTTTCTTTGTTAAAATTTATGAAGGGCTTTACACTTTATCCTATGCTAAATAGCTTTGGTTTTCTCTCTCTCCTCCCTCCCTCTTGCCTTAGCCTCCAGAGTAGCTGGGACTACAGATTAGTACGATTGGGGCTACAGATTAGGGACTACTGTGCCCAGCTTTCTATATAGCTTTTCAAAAATTTCTTTATGGTGGCTCTTAGGATTGAACCCAGGACTCTGCACATGCTAGGCAAGTGCTCTACCACTGAGCTGTATCTCCAGCCCTTTTAAAATTTTATTTTGAAAAAAATAAATTATTTTGAGACAGGGTCTCCAAGAGGTTGCCAGGTGCCTTGAACTTCCAATCCTCCTGCCCATGCCTTCTGAGCAGCTGGGGTGACAGGGGTGCTCTACCATGCATGCGTTTTGTCCAGCTTTTTAAAAAGAATACTATTTGTAATGTCTCTAACAATTACTAA